GAATGAAAAATTATGATATTGCTAAATATGTTGATGTTGAATGTAATTTACCCACAACATTCTAGTATTGGAGATGCTCTAAGATAAGATGGAATGTATCAAAAAAAAAAATCCGCATGTGATTGCTTTCTTTAAATGTCTAATTTAATTTTTTTCAACATATTTAGGCCGTTGTTAAATTATATGTAGATTTATAAAAATAAATAAGAATAAGAAATTGTCTGAAACATTAATTACAGATCAATTTATGGAATTGGGATAACGTGATAGTTTTTGCAGTTTTTTTTTGGCCAGAAGGATAGAGATACTATTAATAAAGAAAAGGTTCAGAATACAATACAACTATCCCTAAAACGACAAACTGAGAGATGCTACACAAAGCACCTCAACAAGCAAAAACCAAACTAAAAAAACACAATAAAAATGCTTCTCTCCACTGCCATAAGGCCTAGATAGAAACAAGTCCACCAGGAAAAAGGCAACTAGAAGAAACTACAAAAGAAACAAAAAGACAAAGCAGCCAAGCCAGCTAAGATGATCCCACAGCCAAGGAGGCTTCCAACCAGTCCTTCTGAGCAGCTGAGATGACAATGTGCTCAAGCATTAGAGTTCTTTCAAAGACCCAAAGATTCTGAGACTTCCACAACCACTGTAGCAGATAGGTGGATAATTGGATCCTGTCTTGAATTACATCACTCTGTTTGATTTAACTGATCTGCTGCCACCATGCTTTGAAAGAGTAAGAGCAATGCTGTAAGCCATCCCAATTGACAGGTGCTATTTCCCAGATCCTTCTAGCTCTTGGGCAAGAGAAAAAAATATATTCTGCAGTCTCAGGTTGGTCACCACATATTGAACAGATAGCACATATGTCCACCCCTCTCCTCCTCAAATTAGTAGCTGTTGGCAAGGTGTCAGAGATGCATTTCCAAAGGAAATGTTTAATTTTTCCTTGCATTTTCATTTTCCAACATCTCTGAAACATTTGGTGAGGAGGAAACAAGCTTGTGCTGGCTTCAGGAATGTCCATTAGAAGAACCTTCTGTGCTACCAAAAATTTGTAAGTACTTGAAACAGAGGAAATACCTTTGGAGTTATCTTGCTAAAGAATGGATTTTGTAGAGATTTAAATAACTTATCATTGTATATTCTTGTTATGTATAACTTTTATCAACTGTCTCCAGAACAAAAATTATGAAAATATTCAGACGCATATGTGATTTTGTAAGAAAATGTCTATTTTTTTAATATAATAATTGCATTAAAAATAAATTATGAAAATATTCAGACGCATACGTGATTTTGTAAGAAAATATTTTTTTTTTTTTAATTTAAGGACAACATTAAAAGTAAATTTAAAGGATAAGAATTATATGTGAAATATATATATATGTATATATATAAAAAAAAATCAATTATCTCGAACTCTCTATATATACCAATATATGTAAAACAAAATCAATTATCTCAAATATAACCAGTGAACGATCTTCTAGGTATTTGTAATGTTATGATTATTGTCTAATAACTAATAATATTCGAAAATATATAAAAATATGCTATCTGCTTTTAATTTTCACAAATTTATTGGGTAATAAGTTCTTAAATATAGCTAGGATTAAATGTAGTTTTTATCTATACAAAATATTAATGGCCCCAAATCAAGATGATTTGTTTGCACTTATTGATACTCAATTGATGTATATTATAAATTAATAAAGGCAGGTAAATATGTACCCTTTACCCCAACAATACATTCATCAATCTATCCCAACAATACAGTGAAAATCTCACAACTCGAAACAACACAAGTTCCAAACAGCTCCAAAAAGGTACATGAAAGAAATACTATTACTGAACTAAAAGACATACGATCCACTTCCTTCATTACTGACTATTCTTTGAAGCACTTTTGTTTTTAAACACTTCCCAATCAACTTGTGCTGACTTTAATATTGCAAGATTTGACATCCACACATTTTTAAATTTCCAGAGATTTTTGGATTTCCACAGCCACCAGAGTATGTATGTTGTGAGCTCAATCCCGTCTTCAGAAATGCCCCTCTTATCCACTGAGCAAACATTCCACCACTACTATTTAAAGATCTTGTTTGTGCAATAGCATTCCAACAAACAGAAGCAAGCCTCCAAATTCTCTGCACTCTGGTACACAGGAAAAAGCAATAATCCACTGATTCCAACTCCTCACCACACCCTTGACATCTAGGATCCAACTCTGATCCCCTATTTTTCAAATTTAGACTACAAGAAGAGAGTTAGTATAACACTTCCATATAAAGTATTTACGTTTTGATTAATTTTTACGGCCCAGCTCCTTCCCCTCACCCTTTTCTCTCATTTGGCTGTCTCACTCCCCTAAGCAATATTCAGATCGCTGATTTTACTCACCACCAGATTTGAATAAGAGTTAGAGACCGAAAACTAATCTTTATTATCAAACATCCACCGCCACTTATCAAACAGTAGAGGGTCCAGACTTTGTATCTGTAGTATAGCTTCCTTATCAGCCTGTGTAAAGCATTTTTCAATCATTTCTTTATTCCACGATCTTCCATCTTCTTGAATCAAGTCCTCCACCCAAGTCACCTGAGATAATAAAAAATAGTGAATTGCTATAACCCGCCCCCTTATTACTATTTACCGCCCTAAAGACCCTTTTTGCCCTTTTCATTTCTAAAATTTTTTCTCTCTCTCTTCCTCTTTTTTTCCCTCTCGTCTTTTCCGCCTCATATCACCACCAAACAAATCCAAAAAATAGACTAGTGCGAAGAAAAAGAGAGGCAAATGGGTAAAGCAGTAACAAAAATAAATGTAAGTGCGAAGATGTATGCACTAGTCTAGTCTAACAATAAGTGTCGGATAGGCGATAACAACTAAGATGGTCAATGTTCTCTTTCCCAACATGGTTGGTTGGTAGGAGAATAGATCTTTACCAAATGTTGTAAAGTGGATGTGACTGGTCACTTCATAGTTGTGTCACAAATAATGATTTTGTGCATCAAAACCCTGATTTGTGATTTTTGATACCATTTTGGTGTTGATGATATTTTAGGACGAAGATGGTCGAAACAAGGATGTGGATCTGAAATGATCCGAACCTCTTGCCTGAAGTGTAGACCTATATTTCACATATTAAGTTATGGCGGTGTAAACATCTAAAATTCATGGAAGTAAAACTTTTCAACTTTATTGAGTGACTGGA